TGAAAACAGGACTCCCAGATCTTCAAAGGATAATACTCCTTCAGGATATTTTCTTTTTTAAACAAACTACGAAGAATATAATTTTGTATTTTTAAAAAGAATCTTCTTTTAGTATTATAAGAGGTATTACTAAGGAACTCTCATGTTGTCATCGTGGTTTTTACTTACTTTCTGACCTTAAATCTCGATTTTTATGTGGAAGATTTTTTCATTAAATCTCGAATTTTATTGGGAAGATATGTTTAAGGGAATCTAGCTTCATTTGTTGATTTGATGAATATTTTTAAGTATTTTTTAAAGGAATATTTTTTAAGGAACTTCAGGCTGCAGTATCTGTTTTATTAACAAAAAATAAATACTCTCAAAGCACCTATACGGGATGTAAAAAAAGTCTTTTAAAGGACTTTCAGAGCAACAAACAGGTTTTTTTCTTTAAAAAATATTTTTATCAAATTTTCGCTCATTTTTAAGACTATCTACCAAAGACGCCAATAGTTAAATTATAATTTTTTTAAATATTTGCTCAAGAGCTTTCGAGCTGTAATCGGGCATTATTTGAAAAATGTGTTTCAGAGATATTGAGATCTAACAATTCTAGGTTGTGGCCCTAGGGGAGGGGGGTTTCAACGTTTTTTTTAATTTTTCTAAATTTATAATAAATATTTTTGAAGAATTTAAGAGCCTTATTTAAAAATATTTAAGGAATACATTTTTAAGGAATATTTTTGAAGACTCTAAGCTATTATCCTGGTTTTTAAGGGATATTTTTTCTAGGACTTTTGGGATGTTACCCTTTGGGGTTTAAAAGCATTTATAGCCATATAGGAGACTTTTTTTCAAAGATTTAGAGGGCTTAATCATAATATTAAAAGGAAAAGTTTTTTAAGGATTTAAGGACTTCAGTGGTTAATAGTTAACGAATATTTCCTTCAAGGTCAAAAATCTTGGTTTATTTTGGTGGGATTTCTTTACTGATTGACTTTTAAAACTTCATCGTTTATTTAACAATGTTTTCTTATACACTCACAGAGCCATGGTTGTTGATCTGTTTAGGAATATATTTAAGGACTCACGATTTGTAATCTTGTTTCTTTTTTTTTTTTTTAAGAAAAATTGTCAAGGACTTTTACAATTAAATTTATTTTTGTTTAATATTCTTGTCAGCCATTTTTTGTCGTATTTTTATCGTATATATAAGAATTTCACTCGTAAATTTTTAAAGAATATTTTCTTAAAATACTCTTATACGTGTTAGATGATATTTTGGGGTTTTATGGATAAATTGGCGGTTTCTAAGTTTTTATTTTCCAAGGAATCTCCATACTAAAATATTTGGGTTTATAAGAATATATTTTTGCAGCATTTAATGATATGAAATTATTTATTTAAATTTTATATCATTTTTTTTTATATTTTTTCAACCACTGTAAACTTCCAATTTTCCATTCCCTACCCAAGTTAGTTTTAATCTAACAACACTTATCCATAGCAAATCGAATACCAGTTACTTATACAAAACCAATTCACATCAACTTTTGCTAACTCAATCTTAACCTTTATGTCATAAGTGAGATTGTTGTTGGAAACGAGAAACAATTATCTATTGCAAATTGCATTTATTTCTCTCTTTTTTTGTTCATTCAATCACTTTACAAATATTTTTGCATATTTTCTACCTTGTTAGCAATCAGTATGGAAAGTGTCCTACACAGCTGTATAATACAGAGAGAGAGGAAAGAACAGAACTTGGAAATGGGATGAGTGTTTTCAAACAATACTACAGTGGAACCAGGTTATGAAGAATTTGGAAGATTAAATTATCTTAGTTATACATTTCAAGTAAATTCGGACAAAACTGTAGAGAAGGCTTTTAAATATTTCAAATTAGGTTAAAAAGGCCATATCACAACTTGAGTGATTTGAGAAACGGAATAATGATTCATGGTATTATTTGAGATTTAATGGAAATAAAGGTCAATTTTAGGAGTATATAAAAACATGTCATTGCCCACGCTTTTAAGATCTTAAAGGTGGACGAAAAACAAGTCACCACATTCCAAAGGTAGATTTTTTAATATATCTGCGGAACATATCCTATAATGCCAAATAAATTCGGAAATATTTTTCTCATATCCCCGTCCCAGTGTGCATCACAAGCGGATCCCCACTTATGCATATAAATAATGCCGGTAAAAACTCGCAAACAAAAATCTCGAACATCAATACATCAAACCAACCAACCAGCCAACCGACAAACATACAACCGGTTTAAGCTCCTGGCATTTTCAAACAAATTTATACAGCTACATATTTACTTGTGAATGGTGTGACTGAATAGAGAAACTTTTCTCGTTTAACAAAAATCCACAACACAAAAACTTATGTGGCTTCTGAGATTTTTCTCTTTATTGTGGTCAGAGTTCAAATTATGCACAAAAAAAAGGATAAGAACTAAAATGGAGGAGACGAAAAAAAACAGATATCATAGGGAGTTAGATGAGGTTTTTTTGGAGACTATTTGGAGCAATTGTCCACATAGTGTAAAAAAAAAATTTGGTATGACCACAATTTTAAATTCTGTTTTTGTGTAGAGAGAAAACCAATTACAGACTGCCGTCATTTCTAAGCCACTCGTCCGACAGATGTTAACATATTCCAGTGACTGCTCATTATATTGTTTATAAGCGCTCAATAGCATTTTGGTGAGAATTTTCCAGAAAAATGATGATTTCTTTATATTTGGCTGGAAAACCAAAAGTGGCTATCGTTAGAGTACTCCAGCATTTAAATGTGAATAAATCTTTTGTGTCGTTGTGTGCTCGTTACCGTGATATTGGTAGCTTAGCCAGACTTCAAGGAAGTGGACGGAAGAAAACAGCAACATCAGCAGAAATGGTCCTTACCACTATGTGGTGTAGGGTATAAAAATGCATCATGTCGCTCAACCCTTTCTGAAAGTCCCTATAAAAGATAAACTTCGACTTTAGATTTCTATATCCTACACCACAAGTTGGTCAGGGTATTATGTTTTTGTGCATTTGTTTGTAACAGGCAAAAGGAAACGAGATACACCCATAGTTCCTTTTGATGATCTGCATAGAATCACATTCTGAATAGATTTATACATGTCCGTCCGTCCGTCCATGTATTTTTGTGAACAAAGTAGAGTTCGCATTTATCACCCGATCAAGATTAAATTATGTACAAATAATTTGTTTGGCCCAAGGACGAAACCTTTTGAATTTGGAGATAATCGGTAAAAATTTAGATATAGCTCCCATATATATCTTCGTCCGATTTGCTTTTTATTGTGCTCCAAACGTTTAATATCAGCCCGAATAGTATGGAATTTTGCATATACAACCAAATTAGGCCTGAAAATAAGTATGCCAAATTTGATCGAAATAGGATAAGATATAGCTATACCTCCCATATAAATTATTCATCCGATTTGTTATATTTGTCCTCCGCAGCCGTAATATGCACTCTGTAAGAACAATATTTGAGGAAATATAACAAATACAGCTCAAAAATACCTTTGCTAAATTTTATCGAGATTAGTTCAGACTTGAATATATCTCTCATATATAACTTCGTCCGATTTACATTTTATTGTGCACCAAACGTCTAATATTTATCCAAATGGGATAGAATTTGGTACATACGACCGAATTGAGTCTAGAATCTAGTATGCCAAATGTGGTGAAGATCGGTTCAGATATAGCTATAGCCCCTATATATTGGTCATCCGATTTATTATATTTGTTACCCACAGCCGTAATATGCACTCCGTAACAATGATATTCAGGGAAATATATGAAATACAGCTCAGAAATATCTTTGCCAAATTTTATCAATATCGGTTCAGATTTAGATATAGGGTGTAGTGGTGGTGTAGGGTATCATAAAGTCGGCCCACCCGACTTTAAGACTTTCTTTGCCTGTTTCTTTGACTTTTAAGTCTTGTAAAGGCCCATCTAAGATAGGTAACGTTTTGTATAGTCCTCCTATAAGATTACCCCCTGATTTTAATTATTTCAAAGGCCCAAACCTTATTTCTCAATCGCTTATAACTGAATTATTCATCATGAAATTTTATTACATCGTGACAGATATAAGAGAGTGAATAAATATTCTCAATTGCCATTTTTATTTTAAGATCTTCCTTGAATAATATTTCTCCCTATGCACCTACATAGGCCAATTTTCCCCCTACAAGTCATAATTTTCATTGTTTATCTTGTCTTTAGAAACAAAGCCAACATATCTTACATCTCGAAAGAGGGATCCTTGTTTACATCATGACATTTGTCTTTTAAAACTACCGCAAACACCAACAACAAAGTTGTAAACAAAGTTTTATTTTCAAATTACAATTCAAATACAAATTCAGAACGACCTGTGCTGTAATAAGATCTAAAACTTTATCTCTCTCTCTATTTTGCATACACTCCCTCACACACATACATACACATAAATTTGCATAGTTTCACAAACGACATGTATTACCACACTGTGTCATCCCACCGTTCATTCATACATCTCCTCTCCTGGTTCTCTCGAAAAAAACAAACAAAAAACCGAAACTTCAACTTTTATGCCCACTTTAGGGCACAAAATAGACCAAAAGTCAAAAAAGCAGACGAAAATAAGTGTTAATTGTAAAAGTAAAAAAAGAAGAAAAAAAGAAGAAGAAGGAAGAAGAAAAAAAAAACACAACAAAAAAATATAATCTTGCAAGGAAATCCACAAAATATGGTTGCACACTAGAAGTTGCAGCAGCAGCAGAAGAAGTTTAACAGAACCAACGAAAAAAAAACTTTTTCCTCTGGGGGCTGTTGGCCTTGTTGTCTCTGTCATTTTTCTTGGTTAAACCTAGTAAAGCTCCGAAAAAAAACATTGGAGATTTCTGACTCATAAAATATGTGTAGGTATGTATGTAAATATGTTTGAGTTCGCCACAAACAAACAAAACGAGAGAATAAAATACGGAAACTTACCAACTACTTGTAAATGCACCCGAGCACTAACTTTTGGCTCTGTTGACACTTGACATTCATAGGCACCAGCATCACGGGCCTGTACATATTTTATTTGCAATGTCCAAAATTTGTCGGGTTGTTTTAAAGCCAAAAATCGTTGGTCAGCAATGAAGACAGCCCTGTGGATAGAAGAGGAAGAAAAAGAAAAGAGAAAACGAAAAAAATATATATTAACAATGATTGAAATGTGTTGAGTGCCTGAATGATGGAAAAAAATATGAAGAGGGTAATTCATACAAATATGATGTATTGAATTTTTTTTATAATTTTGAAAAGTATTACAACTTTTTTAATTGAAACTTTAAATTAAATTTGGTTTTCATTTTAAATCGCCATATTATTCTTTCGTCGCACAAAAAATTATACTAATTTGATATATTTTGGTACATTCTATAACCTGTCGATGGAGATTTAAGATCTATTATAATTCAACATAGGCAAGAGACTAACAAGAAAATAAATAAGTAAGTTCGGCAGGGCCTGAATACCCTCCACCATTTACAAGAAATTTGGAAATTAAAAAAAAACAAACTCTTTGAAAAATAGTCTAGGCTATTAGAATATTCAAATACGAAACTTGAAACAATTCCGGTGAATAACGTCGCTAAAATTATCAAAATACCGAATATAGGGTGGTACCGTTATATGGGGGCTATACGAGCACCTGCATAGACAATTTTCAGTCACAGGTTGTAGTACCCGCTACGAACTGTAAAAACGAAATTTAAATAATTTCGTTGAATAATGTCAATAAAATTATTAAAATACCGAATAAAGGGTGGTACCGTTATATGGAGGCTATAAAAAACATGGACTTGCATGAGCAATTTTCCGTCACAGGCTGTAGTACCCGTTACGAACAGAAAATGGGAATTTTGAAACAATTCCGGCAAATAATATCCCAAAAGTCATCAAAACACCGAAATTATGGAGGTAGCCTTATATGGGGGCTATACGAAGACGTGGACCTGCATAGTCAATTTTCTGTTATAGCTTTCAGTACCTATTAGGATCTACAAATACGAAATGTGAAACAATTTCGGTGAATCATGTCGCCAAAGTCATCGAAATACCGAATATAGGTAGGAATCCTTATATGGGGGCTATACGAAGAGATGGAACTGCATGGAAAATTTTCTGTCACAGGCAATTACGAATTTTGAAACAATTTCGATGAATAATATCCCAAAAGTCATCAAAACACCGAAATTGGGGAGGTACCCCTACACGAAGGCATGGACCTACATAGCCAAATTTTTATTATAGTTTGCAGTACCCATTAGGATCTACAAATACGATATGTGAGTAGTACTCATAATGAACTGTAAAAACAAAATTTGAAGCAATACCACAACGTGGACCTCTACTGCACATTTTCAATACCAAAAGTCCTGCAGAACAAACACACATCTGAGTAAAATTCTATCAACTTACTTCAATTCGTTCAGAAGCTAGAGTGATCTCCACAGATGGATTGATGGACGGACATCGCAAAACACACATAGAATTTTATGCTGAATAAACAGTGTGAGATAAAAAAAACTGCAACAAACTCAAACACCATAATTTTTACATTTTTTATACCCTACACCACAAGGTGGTCAGGGTATTATGTCTTTGTGCATTTGATTGTAACAGGCAAAAGGAAACGAGATAGACCCATAGTTCCTTTTGATGATCTGCATAGAATCACATTCTGAGTCGATTTATGCATGTTCGTCCGTCCGTCTGTCCATGTATTTTTGTAAACAAAGTACAGTTCGCATTTATTCCCCTATCCAGATGAAATTTTGCATAAATCATGTTTTTGGCCCAAGGACGAACCCTATTGAAATTGGAGATAATCGGTCAAAATTTAGATATATATCTTCGTCCGATTTGCCTTTTATTGTGCACCAAACGTGTAATATCAGCCCGAATAGTATGAAATTTTGCACATACAACCAAATTAGGCTTGAAAATAAATATGTCAAATTTGATCGAAATCGGTTCTGATATAGCTATAGCTCCCATATATATTGTTCATCCGAGTTGTTATTTTTGTCCTCCGCAGCCGTAATATGCACTCTGTAACAACAATATTTGGGGAAATATATCAAATGCAGCTCAGAAATACCTTTGCTAAATTTTATCGAGATCGGTTCAGATTTGAATATAGCTCCCATATATATCTTTATCCGATTTACCTTTTATTGTGCACCAAACGTCTAATATTTGCCCAAATGGAATGGAATTTGGCACATACGACCGAATTTAGTCTAGAAGGTAGTATGCCAAATTTGGTGAAGATCGGTTCAGATATAGCTATAGCTCCCATATATATTGTTTATCCGATTTGTTACATACAGCCGTAATATGCACTCCGTAACAACGATATTCAGGGAAATATATCAAATACAGCTCAGAAATATCTTTGCCAAATTTTATCGAGATCGGTTCAGATTTGGATATAGCTCCCATGTATATCTTTATCTGATTTCAAATTAATTTTGCACCAAATGGGCAATACAAGTCCGAATTTAAAAGATACAAATGCTTCGGCATATTTAGTCCTTTGAATTTTAAATTATAATTATAATCATAGCGTGTATGATTGAATTCTCCCATAAAAACTTTTAATTATTAAGTGGAGCTCAACTAAATCAGCAAAGTGGTGTAGGCTGTCATAAAATCGGCCCCGCCCGACTTTAGGACTTTCTTTACTGGTTTTATTATACCCAACCGCTTTTTGATCATTCATTTTCAATGATATAATATTCATTACATTTTAGTACTTTTGCACACTTATAGTAAGAATTTCTACAAGCGCTTTCTGTATCAAAGCCAACTCAACATAATTAATTAATTAATTTAATTTTCTCGATCGACACAATAACAATTGTACCTTATTTTTTTCTTTTTAGTAATTTGAGTAATATTTTGGAAACCTGAGCTCTTTCCCTAGCTCATTGCCAATGGCAGCACGATTTCTACACTTTCACACCAAGAATAACCCTCTGGATTCTAGCTTCATTCACATGGGCTGGGCCTGGATTATCAGTCAGTCAGCAAGTAAAGACAACCTCTTCTTTTCCAAACTGTAACTCCAAATACCGTTTTTAATACCCCAACACTTTACCACTAAGCAATGAAAAACTTCAGGAAATGCAACTTTTTTAAGCTTCAAAGTATGTGAAAACCTCAAGAAAAATCTGGTAGTTTACCCAGCAAGTAAGTAAGTATGAAACCAAACAAACAAACAGAAATTTACACAAAAGTAATAAAATCAATCTTTACTTCGAATACTTCCTGTTTTTTCGAAACAAAATATATTTAGAGATTTCCTCAAGGTATTTCAAAGTAAGTGCATACAAATATACACTCACACACATTTATACGCTCGCATTGGAGTATATTTACTTGTGTGTGTTTAGTTATTTACTCGATACAACTCTTGAGTTTAGCAAACGAATTGCACAAATGATTGCATTTAGGCCAAATGTTGTATGGATTGGATTGATGTTCGAGGGTCAGTTTGGCAAAAGAGATTTTCATCATTTATTTTTCTAAGATGCTTTGGAACGAGTGTAGTTCTTAGTAAGTATTTAAAAACACTAAGCTCATACGATTTCAAGAATGTTGTGAATAAATTAAGGAGGAGCATGAAGGGGAAGCAATATAAAGTAAAGCTAAATAGACAAAGGAATGTTGGGGTTACATAAAAAGCCTATAATGTACCTCATTACAACTTTTACGGAGACTTTATGGGAAATCTATCAAAAGAGGAAATTGTTGAATTTACTTCGAGAGAACTGCTATCCCGAGAAAATATGAAAACGAACCCAAAATTTTCAAAAGTAGGTTGCAATACTTCAAAATCGACTCCCTCGGCCATTACCTCATCTATAAAGACTCCATCGGTCGTCAGCTCGTTTATAGAGACTCCCACTGCCGTCAGTTCGACTATAGAGACTCCCTCGGCCGTTAGTTCGACTATAGAGACTCCCTCGGCCGTCAGCTCGTCTATAAAGACTCCCTCGGCCGTCAGCTCGTCCATAGAGACTCCCTGAGCCTTCAGCTCGTCTATAGAGACTCCCTGAGCCTTCAGCTCGTCTATAGAGACTCCCTGAGCCTTCAGCTCGTCTATAGAGACTCCCTGAGCCTTCAGCTCGTCTATAGAGACTCCCTGAGCCTTCAGCTCGTCTATAGAGACTCCCTGAGCCTTCAGCTCGTCTATAGAGACTCCCTGAGCCTTCAGCTCGTCTATAGAGACTCCCTGAGCCTTCAGCTCGTCTATAGAGACTCCCTGAGCCTTCAGCTCGTCTATAGAGACTCCCTGAGCCTTCAGCTCGTCTATAGAGACTCCCTGAGCCTTCAGCTCGTCTATAGAGACTCCCTGAGCCTTCAGCTCGTCTATAGAGACTCCCTGAGCCTTCAGCTCGTCTATAGAGACTCCCTGAGCCTTCAGCTCGTCTATAGAGACTCGCTGAGCTTTAAACTCGTCTGAGTCTTCAGCTCGTCTAGAGAGACAAGCTGAGGCTTCAGCTCGTCTAGAGAGACAAGCTGAGGCTTCAGCTCGTCTAGAGAGACACGCTGAGGCTTCAGCTCGTCTAGAGAGACACGCTGAGGCTTCAGCTCGTCTAGAGAGACACACTGAGGCTTCAGCTCGTCTACGGAGACTCCCTGAGCCCTCAGCTCGCCTATAGAGACTACCTCGGCCTTCAGCTCGCCTATAGAGACTATTTCGGCCCTCAGCTCATCTATAGAGACTCGGTGGGACTTCAACTCGTCTATATAGACTCCCTGAGCCTTCAGCTCATCTATAGAGACTCCCTGAGCCTTCAGCTCGTCTATAGAGACTCCCTGAGCCTTCAGCTCGTCTATAGAGACTCCCCGAGCCTTCAGCTCCTCTATAGAGACTCCCCGAGCCTTCAGCTCGTCTATAGAGACTCCCTGAGCCTTCAGCTCGTCTATAGAGACTCCCTGAGCCTTCAGCTCGTCTACAGAGACTCCCTGAGCCTTCAGCTCGTCTATAGAGGTGGATCTTCAATAGAAACACATAAAATTTCTGTACCTTTTTATGTTTATCTTGGTTTTCATCACATTGTAAATCTCAGCACTAAAATTACATTCAAAATTA